CGGACATCAGATATGACGCTCTCGCACCTGGCTTGCCTCCTCCCCCCTCTCCTCCCCCGCCCTTTCGGTTTTCGAGACCTGCTCCCGCCGACGTCGTCGACCCAGCCCCCAGGTCCAGAGCTCTACAGCTCACCTTAAGTCCGGCATGTCCCTCTACAGGAGGAATCTTCCCAAATAGGCAAAACAAAACATACGGGGACGACTTTTTGATACACACGCTGTCAGTGTATATATATAATACACACGTACAAATGCAATACACCATCGCCCAACATCCGCCTGTAGGAGGACACGCCCGACCTAAAGCTTACCTCGCTCCTTTCTTCCCCCGGCCCAGTCCCCAGACATCCACAACTCAGAAACTCCAGGGCTCTTCACCTCTCTCTCTGGGGTTTGCTGAAAAGGGGCCCCTGGCCCGAGGGGCCGCTCTTCCTCCAGCCCGATCTGGTGCTCTCTCTTCTCTCCGCCTCCTCTCGGGGGTTGCCGAAGGTGCCCCTGGCCCAAGGTGCCCCCCCCCAGCTTTTCGCTCAACTCTGGAGCCCCTGGGGCCCCCCTGGGCCTCGTGACGGGGTGCTCTGGGGGCCTTGGGGGCCTCCTCGGAAATCCTGGGGACACCTTGGGCCAGGGCCACTTCTAGCAACACCCGAATTTTTATGTCGCCCTTTCTCTCTATCTCTTTTGCTGCGGTCTGTGCTCTGCTGTGGGGAGGCCGGGGGTGATGGGGAGCATGTCTTTCCGCTTGTTGTGCTAAAGTGTGCTGCAGCAGCGCGCGGCGAAGATCACGGCCCTTTTGCCTTCCGCGTCAGCCCTCTTCGCAATCGGTTCTGGAGCAGATGGGGTCGGAGGATCGCAGCGCGTCGCCGAAGCTTCGGCGATACGGCGCGATCTGGAGTCCATCTTTCTCTTTCCCGACGTCGCCGGTGTATCGGCGGTGCGGAGCGATCTTCTGACCCCATCCACTCCGGCCCCACTTGGGAGGCCTCCACTGCCTGCCTCCACCCGCCATGCCTCCCAGCCTCGCCCCCCCTCCCTCCTTCAGCTGCGAAATCCGAACCCTACCCTCGCCCTTAGCTGTTCTTGAAAACGCTGGGGGCGTTTTTAACTTTTGGTGTTGCGGTCGACCAAGACAACAAAAACGGCAACCCAAAACATAAACAAAACGACACTGCCTTAATTTGCCAAAACAGAAAAACACGGCAGCCCAAAACAAAAACAAAACGGAGAGCCCAAACAGAACAAACATTGCACGGGCCTGGAATTCTGCTGCCACGCCGCGACGAAAACTGGCACAAGGGCCTCGCCGACCAACGATCCGGGCAACTAGACGGGCGGCGGGGGTAATTAGGGTTCGGGATTCGTCGAGCACGTTGCGAAATCCGAGCCCTACCCCCTGCCTCCAGTCGGCTCAGGAGGATCGATGGTTGGTGGGGGAAGGGATCGGGTGTCGCCACCTACTCCCTTCCTCCCCTCCCCCTCCCCTCCCTCTCCCCTCCCCCTTTCCGACCCCATCCACTCCAGCCCCACTTGGGAGGCCTCCAGTGCCTGCCTCCCCCCCTGCCTCCGTGCCCCCCCCCCCTTCCTTCCCTCCCTTTCTCCCTGCCTTCCAGCCTCCCCCCCTCTCTCCCTCCCTCCTGCCTCCGGGGGGAAACGAGGAGCAGGTCCCCTGGAGGTCTCTGGCCTCCAGAGGCCAGGCAAACATCCAAACATGAGCAGACTAATTGGTAACTCGATCCTCCTCCTCCTCCTCCTCCTCCTCCTCCTCCTCCTCCTCCTCTCCTCCTCCTCCTCCTCCTCCTCCTCCTCCTCCTCCTTCTCCTCTTCCTCCTCCTCCTCCTCCTCCTCCTCCTCCTCCTCCTCCTCCTCCTCCCCCTCTCTCTCTCGCTCCTCGCCTTCGATCCTTCCCCTCGCACCTCTTCCTCGCTCCATCCTCCCCGCCCTCTGTTCTCCTCATCTCCCTCGCTCCTCTCCCTCGCTCCTTCTTTCGAAGCCCCCTCGCTCCCTTCCCCCCTCCTCCTCCTCCTCCTCCTCCTCCTCCTCCTCCTCCTCCTCCTCCTCCTCCTCCTCCTCCTCCCCCCTCCCGCTTTTCGTCGTCCTCCTCCTCCTCGTCCTCGTCCTCGTCCTCGTCCTCGTCCTCGTCCTCGTCCTCTTCGTCGTCCTCCTCCTCCTCCTCCTCCAGCTATTCCTCCTTTCTGTACGTCCCGTTCGGGCTCTGCCGCTTCAGCCACCCCCAGGGGTGCCGCCCCTTTTGGCCGGGCGGCGAGGGTGTCTGCCGGCTCCCGACTAATGTGCGTCGGGCGCGCGGAGAAGACCCGCGTCCGCCGCGCCTCCTCCTCCTCCTCCTCCTCCTCCTCCCGAAGCAGACCCAATGCAGGCCTGGACGGTTTGGTCGTTTTAACAAGCACGCAATGGTGGCTTCGTGGCTTTTCCAAAGGGTTCCTGTTGTCAGGCTTTCCAATCAAATCCCTTGTGGCGCTTTCCAAAGGATTCTTGTTTTGAGGCTTTCCAATCGAATCCCTCGTTGTGTTTTCCAAAGGATTCCTGTTGTGAAGCTTTCCAATCGAATCCCTTTGTGGCGCTTTCCAGAGGACTCCTGTTGTGATGCTTTCCAATGGAAGCCCTTTGTGGCGCTTTCCAGAGGATTCCAGCTGTGAGGCTTTCCAATCGAATCCTTTTGTGGCGCTTTCCACAGGATTCCTGTTGTGAGGCTTTCCAATACAATCTCTTCGTGGTGCTTTCCAGGGGATTCTTGCTGGCAGGCTTCCCAATCGAATCTTTTTGTTGCGCTTTCCAATGCATTCCTGTCGTGAGGCTTTCCAATCGAATCCCCTTGTGGAGCTTTCCAAAGCATTCCTGTTGTGAGGCTTTCCAATCGAATCCCTTCGTTGTGCTTTCCAGAGGATTCCTGTTGTGAGGCTTTCCAATGGAATCCCGTTGGGGCGCTTTCCAGAGGATTCCGATTGTGACGCTTTCCAATTGAATCTCTATGTGGCGCTTTCCAAGGGTTCCGATTGTGAGGCTTTCCCATGAAATCCCTTGCTTGTGCTTTCCAGAGGATTCCAGCAATGGGGCTTTCCAATCGAATCGTTTTGTTGTGCTTTTGAGAGGATTCTTGCTGTGAGGCTTTCCAATCGAATCCCTTTGTGGTGCTTTCCAGAGAATTCTTGCTGTGAGGTTTTCTAATAGAGGCCCTTTGTGGCGCTTTCCAAAGGATTCCTGTTGTGAGGCTTCCCAACCGAATCCCTTTGTGGAGCTTTCCAAAGCATTCCTGTTGCGAGGCTTTCCAATAGCATCCCTTTGTGGCGCTTTCCAAAGGATTCCGATTGTGATGCTTTCCAATGGAAGGACTTTGTGGCGCTTTCCAGAGGATTCTTGCTGTGAGGCTCTCCAGTCGAATCCCTTTGTGGCGTTTTCCAAAGGGTTCATATCGTGAGGCTTTCCAATCGAGTCCCTTTGTAAGGCTTTCCAGAGGATTCCTGGTGTGAGGGTTTCCAATAAAATCCCTTTTGTGGCACTTTCCAGAGGATTCCTGTTGTGAGTTTTTCCAATCGAATCCCTTTGTTGTGCTTTCGAGAGGATTATTGCTGTGAGGCTTTCCAACCGAATCCGTCTGTGGTGCTTTCCAGCGAATTTGTTCTGTGAGGCTTTCCAGCGGAATCCCGATGTGGCGTTTTCCAAGGAATTCCTGTTGTGAGGCTTTCCGATTCAATCCCTTTGTCTGGCATTCCAGAGGATTCCTGTTGTGAGGTTTTCCAATCGAATCCCTTTGTGGCGCTTTCCAAACGATTCCTGTGGTGAGGCTTTCCAATAGAAGCCCTTTGTGGCGCTTTCCACCGGATTCCTGCTGTGAGGCTTTCCATTCGATTCCCTTTGTTGTGCTTTCCAGAGGATTCTTGCTGTGAGGCTTTCCAATCGAATCCCTTTGTTGCGCTTTCCAGAGGATTCCGGTTGTGAGGCTTTCCAATCGACTCCTTTCGCTGTGTTTTCCCAAGGCTTCCTGCTGTGAGGTTTTCCAGTAGAATTCCTTTGTGGTGCTTTCCAGAGGATTCCGATCGTGAGGCTTTCTTTAAACAAATAACACAAATCACAAACAAAACTTTCAGACATAATTCCGTGGTCGACCGCTTGATGATATTCGAAACTTTAGTTTTTGTTGTTGTTTTTTTTTGGGGGGGGGGTTCTGATCCGTTTTCGGCTTCTTCCGGCGCTTTCCAAAGGATTCCTGTTGTGAGGCTTTCCAATAGAATCCCTTTGTGGCGCTTTCCAAAGGACTCCTGCTGTGAGGCTTTCCGATCGAATCCCTTTGTTGTGTTTTCCAGAAGATTCCTGTCGTGAGGCTTTCCAATCGAATTCCTTTGTGGTGCTTTCCAGAAGATTATTGCTGTGAGGCTTTCCAGTAGAATCAATCCCTTTGTGGCGCTTTCCAAAGGATTCCTGTTGTGAGGCTTTCCAGTGCAATCCCTATGTGCGGCTTTCCAGAGGTTTCCTGCTGTGAGGCTTTCCAATACATTCCCTTGGTTGCTCTTTCCAAACGATTCCTGTTGTGAGGCTTTCCAGTGCAATCCCTTTGTGGTGCTTTCGACCGGATTATTGCTGTGAGGCTTTCCAATGGAATCCCTTTTGTTGTGCTTTCCGAAGGATTCCTGCTGTGAGGCTTTCCAATAAAATCCTTTTGTGGAGCTTTCCAAAGCATTCCTGTTGTGTTGCTTTCCAATCGAATCCCTTCGTTGTGCTTTCCAGAGGATTCCGATTGTGAGGCTTTCCAATGGAATCCTTTTGTGGCGCTTTCCAAAGGATTTCGATTGTGAGGCTTTCCAAATGAAAGAAACCAAACAAAACACAATGTGTGTATACGCATATATATATATATATATATATATATATATATATATATATATCTCGCCCCCCCCCCCCCAAGATCTATATTTTCGTGCCCTGTTCATGTCTTCCACTCATCTCTTCCTCATCCTCTTCTTTGCTCTCCATTGCCCTCCCGCTCCCAGGTGGCGAATTGTTCCAGTCAGATACGGGGCGACATGTTCCAAGGGGCGACGTGCTCCAGATCACGCAGGGGCGAAATGCTCCATTTAGAGACGGGGCGACAGGCTCCAAAGGGCGAAGCGCTCCAGACCACGCAAGGGCGAAATGCTCCAGCCAGAGACGGGGCGAAATGCTCCATCCAGAGACGGGGCGAAAGGCTACAAGGGGCGAAACGCTCCAGATACATAGGGGCGAACTGCTCCAGCCAGAGACGGGGCGAAATGCTCCGTCCAGAGACATGGCGAAAGGCTCCAAGGGGCGAGATGCTCCAGATACATAGGGGCGAACTGCCCCATCCAGAGACGGGGCGAAATGCTCCATCCAGAGACGGGGCGAAAGGCTCCAAGGGGCGAAACGCTCCAGATACATGGGGGCGAATAGCTCCATCCAGAGACGCAGCGAGATGCTCCATCCAGAGACGGGGCGAAAGGCTCCAAGGGGCGAAACGCTCCAGATACATAGGGGCGAACTGCTCCATCCAGAGACGGGGCGAAATGCTCCATCCAGAGACGGGGCGAAAGGCTCCAAGGGGCGAAGCGCTCCAGATCACACAGGAGCGAAATTCCCCAGTTCTGCGTTGCATTGCGTTGGATTGCATTTGCATTGTTGCAGTAGAATGCTTTCCAGTGCAATGCGTGCATTCTCGACCCCCCCTTCCTCATCGATCGCATCCTCCTCCTCCTCCTTCTCCTCCTCCTCCTTCCTCCTCCTCCTCGCCCTCCCCCTCCCCGTCCTCCTCCGCCCTTTTTTCCTCCTCCTCCTCTCCCTCCTCCTCCTCCCCCTCCTCTCCTCTCCTCCTCCTCCTCCTCCTCGTCCTCCTCCCCCCCTCCTTCTCCTCCTCGTCGTCGTCTCCTCCTGTGCCTCCTCCTCCTCCCCATCCTCCCCCTCGTTCTCCTCTTCCTTCTCCTCCGCCTCTTCCTCCTCCTCCTCGTCCTCCCCCTCCTCCTCCTCCTCCTCCTCCTCCTCCTCTTCCCCCTCCTCCTCCTCCCCCTCCCCCCCCCTCCGCCTGCCCCTCCTGTTCCTCCTCCGTCTTCCCCTCTACGCTTCTCCCCCCTCGCCCTCGCTCGCCTTCCACGCAACTTTTTCTTCATGTGGCAACGCGTTCTGGCCCGAGCCTGCTTCGACGCAGAACTCGCGGCGCAGCTTCCACGAACCCTCGCGGCAGCAATGCCGATGATGCTCCGCCTCGCCTCCTGGTGCGCCGCCAAGGCGCAGCGCCCGCTCCTCAACAGGCCCAGCGCCGACATGACGGCGGCGGCGGCTAACTGGGGCGTCGTGTGCGACGGGGTAAGCGGAGTCGCGCCCCGCTTCAACCCTGAGGACCTCTCGTGGGACCTCCGGAACTGCCTCCGCTTCTTACTCCGCCAGCGGTTCCACTGGGCGGGCGACGAGCAAGAGTTCGACGCCCAGGTGGCCCGCGAGATCGGCGGCGACGTGCGGAGCATGGCCGCGGGCGCTCCTGCGGCGTGGACGGCGAGGCCCGAGCAGACAGGAACAATAACATACGCACGCACCAAACGGCGAACAAAACAGTTACGTAAACCACAGCAACATAAACCACGAGGCTCTTGCAGCTCGCCATCCAGACCACCACGTCGTACGGTTCCACCACGGTCGTTTTTTTTGTTCTCTGCGTCTGGCACCAAGATGGCCTACTGCCACATCGGGGACGTATCCATCCAGGTATGGCGCAAGTCGGCTCTGACGGGAAGCTACACGCGGCTATTTATCACCGGGGGCCACCACGTCCGCATCGCCGCGGCTTCAGGCGAGGTGATCGGTCCGAAGCAGGTCGCGTTTTTGCTTGGCGTGGCCAGGGTTGGCGTTGATCTGGAGCGCGCCGCGGCGCAGGCCGACTGCGGCGCCGTCAATTTGAACCCGAGAGACATCATCATCTGCTGCTCCGACGGCATCGTTGATAACGTGCCTTACGAGAGCTTCAAGGTCATACTCACAGGCACCGATGATGATGTTCACGCCGCGGCCGACCAGATGGTCAAGTGCGCGCAGCTGCACGGCGCGCCCAAGCCCGACGACATCTCGATCGTGATCGGCGTCGTCGGGTGCGCGTGGGGCCTCGGATTTTCTCGACGAGCGCATTTGGACCACCGCAGACACAAAAGGGACCCGCGAACTAGATTGAGCAACCGTAGTTGATAGGAACAACACTTCCTGGCCGCTTTCCGTGTTTGCGTGGTCGCGAGACCCTGGGCTCCTTCGGCAAAACCGCCACTGTTGCAACCGACGCGCGTGCCTCGAGAGCCAGAGACCAATATGAGAGCCACTGCAACATGGCACACTTCCGTTTGTTAACCAGCGGGTTTTTGAATGGCGGCCCGTAAAGTCGAGGGCATGGTTGTTCCTCTGCTCGCGGCTGTCGGGCGGTTCGTCTGCCCCCCCCCAATCCCTTCCCTCGTCGACGGCCGTGCTTCTAAGCCCTCAACAGGCGTCGTGGCGATCGACTCGGATTCGGACTGAGGCGGCCGCCGCCGTCGTGGGCCAGGCGCTGCGCAGGAGTCTAACAGCTAGCAGCGGGTGCTAGGCGAATTTGCTCGGGGAGGCATGCAACCATTTGGGGTGCATCCAGATCGCTGCGCGGGGTCGACAAAGGGCACGCGTCTGACTTCGCGTGGCTGTTGCGCGCGTTGCAATCGTGAACGTAGCATGCGCGGGGCACCCTTGCGTCCTTGCCTCTGCGGCTCGCCGTTGGCCAGCCATGACATTGGAAGCCGCTAAGCGGGCGTCCATGGGAATTGCGTCGTTGCCGCGCTGTTAACACCGCCAACGCGCGGCTTGCTGTTGCGTGCGCTTGCGCAGCAGCCACGCGCACGCAGAATGCCTGAACGGTCGCCGAACGCTGCTATTTTCTAAGATTCTTCAGGCAACCGAAGGAAGGTGGCCACCAAACACTGCTAACATCTAAGATTTCTAAGATTTCCGCAACCATCCCAAGGCCCTGCGGAGCAGCCGCGCGCACACAGCAACCCATAATGGTCGCCAAACACTGCTATTTTCTAAGATTCAAACAAAAATAAAAAATATAAAACATCTAAGAATTACGCAACCATCCCGGGGCCCTGCGGAGCAGCCACGCGCACACAGCAACCCATAATGGTCGCCAGACACTGCTATTTTCTAAGATTCCGAAGGCAACCGAAGGAAGGTGGCCACCAAACACTGCTATTTTCTAAGATTTCTAAGATTCCTAAGATTTTCGCAACCTTTCAGGCCAGCCTGGGGATGGTTGCGGAAATCTTAGAAATTTTAGAAACCTTAGAAAGAAAAAACAGTGTTTGGTGGCCACCTTCCTTCGGTCGCCTTGGGAATCTTAGAAAATAGCAGCGTTTGGTTGCCATTCAGGGTTGCTGCGTGCGCGTGGCTGCTCTGCAAGGCCTTGGGATGGTTGCGGAAATCTTAGAAATCTTAGAAATCTTAGAAAATAGCAGTGTTTGGTGGCCACCTTCCTTCGGTTGCCTTAGGAATCTTAGAAAATAGCAGCGTCTGGTGGGCATTACTGGCCACCAACACAAACAACGCAAAGCTTCCTTAGAGGAACTTAGTCTTCAGACCCCATCAAAATATACATCTTGGGGGGGTGCGACCATATATATATATACAACCACACAAATCAAACTTTCAGATTTAATTCCGTGGTCGACCGCCAGAACAGATTCGTCAGTTTTTTTTTTGGGGGGTGGTGGTTTTCTGATTCGTTTTCGTTTTCGTTCGGACTCCACAGAAGGATGCCTGTTGAAAACGCGCAAACCGCCCAGGCCTGCATCGGGTCGGTTCCTCCTCTTTCTCCTCCTCCTCCTCCTCCTTCTCCTCCTCCTCCCCCTCCTCCTCCTCCTCCTCCTTCTCCTCCTCCTCCTTCTCCTCTTCCTCCACAGTTACTCAATGTGAATGCTACTCTCCTCCTTCCCCTGATGACGGGTTGGGAGTGTTCGCCCCCCCCCCCCCCCCCCGCGCACTGTTTTTTACAAAGGAATCCCCGGAGTTGGGTTTTCGCTTGCATGTTTTCCCTACCTAGGCTCTGCCTTAAAGGGTTCCTACTCTCTTCGCTTAAAGGGGCAGGGCCGGGCCGGGCAGTGCTAACCGCCCCGGGCGGTTCCCCCGGTCCCCTGGGAGCCAAGCAAAGGCAACAGCAAAGGTAAAAGCAAACGCGCGGTTCCCCCAGTTGCGCTCCCTGGGTGCCAAGCAAAAGCAAAAGCAAATGCAAAAGTGAAGGCAAAAGCGAAGGCAAATCAAAACCAGAGTATAGCATAGCATAGCATAGCATAGCGCAGCATAGCATAGCGCAGCATAGCATAGCATAGCCTAGCCTAGCCCTGCATAGCATAGCATAGCATAGCGTAGCATAGCAGCGCAGAGCAGAGCAGAGCAGAGCATAGCAGAGCATAGCATAGCAAAGCATAGCGCAGTACAGCATCCACTATTGCTGCTGCTGCTGCTGCTATATATACATATATATATATGTACTTAGGAGGACGGCGTATACCGCTCCTACTAATGGTTCTTTCCTAGAGGCTCCAACTTCTAGGTAGGGTCGCAGTGGGATAATTTTCAATATGCTGCTCTCGCTGAGGCGCCGGCCTCATTTTCGGGCCCCGCTCGTTCCGAATCGTGCTCCCGCTGCAGCGTTGGCCTCATTTCCGCGCTTCCGCTCGTTCCGAATCGTGCTCCCGCTGCAGCGTTGGCGTCATTTCCCGCGCCATGCCACGGCATGCAATGCAATGCTAGGTTGTGTTCCGTTGCGTGATGCCATGCCTTCAGCTGAAGCTGTGATATGCAGTGCTTAAGTGCCACGTCGTGCTATGCCATGCTACGCTTTGATCTTCAACGCCATGCTATGCAATGTGATGTTCGGGGCCGCTGTGCGATGCCATGCTTTGCGTTGCAAAGCTTTGTGATGCAATTCTTCACTACGCCACGCCACGCCATGCTGTGACATACTACGCTTTGCGGTGCTCTTCTACGCCATGCCATGCCGTGCTCTACAATGCATCGCGTACCCTTTCGGGATCATTGCCCTGCTCGACATCCGACTGTTCGAGTACAGAGGGCATCTACGCCATGGTAAGGGATGGGAGGGAAGGGTAGGATGTCAGATATGACGCGAGCGCACCTAGCTTGTCCTCCGCCCCCTCCTTCTCCTCCTCCTCCTCCTCCTCCTCCTCCTCCTCCTCCTCCTCCTCTTCGCGCCTCCTCCTCTTCCTCCTCGCTCCTCCTCCTTCGCGCCTCCCCCTCGTGCTTCCCCCTCGCCCCAGGTCATGCTCTGAGGAGAGGGGCGCCGTCCTGGCCGGCCGCCGCGGCGCTGGTCGGGGCCACTCGGAGTCGGCGCGTGCCGGCCAGCGCGGGGGGCACGCTGAAGCGGCAGAGCCCGAACGGGACGTGCGGGAAGGAGGATGAGCAGCAGGAGGAGGAGGAGGAGGAGGAGGAGGAGGAGGAGGAGGAGGAGGAGCAGGAGGAGGAGGAGGGGAGGAGGAGGAGGAGGAGGGGGAGGACGACAAGAAGGGGAAGGGGGGAGGAGGAAGGAGGGGGAGGAGGAGGGAGGAGGGAGGAGGAGTAGGAGGAGGAGAGGAGGAGGAGGAGGCAGGAGGAAGTGGAGGAGGAGGGGAGGAGGAGAGGAGGAGGAGGAAGGAGGAGGAGTAGGGAGTGATGGGAGGAGGACGAGGGGGAGAAGGAGGAGGAGGAGGAGGGGGGATGGAGGAAGGGAGCAGAAGGAGGAGGAGGAGGAACATGAGGAGGAGGAGGAGGAGGAGGAGGAGGAGGAGGAGGAAGGCCAGTGTAGACCCAGAGCGCAAGAACGACGTTGCATTCAGCTCTCCCTCCAAGCTCCCTCTGCACAGGCCCGTGCAAGAATTTGTTCTCATTGTGAGACCTGCCCCGTTGAAGACAACCATCTGAGAGTCTTCAATCGCGCTGAAACACCATTCCTGGGACTGCAGAGCCACGAATCAGCATCACTGTTGCGCCCTGGCAATCTCACATCGTCCCAAAACACCTTTCCTGGGACTTCAGCATGTCAGCCAGCGTTGACCCCAAACAGCGATTTTGATGTATTGTAATATAAGCGGTGCAGTCTAGGTGTTCCAATCAGTGTGGTGTAATCTAGATGGTTTAATCCATGCGGTGGAAGCTCTGGACAGCAACGCAACGCAACGCAATGCAAAGCGATGCAACGCAATGAAGCGCAAGGCAACACGATGCAACGCAATGAACAACACTGCAAGGCAATGCACAGCGACGCAAGTAGCGCAACGCAATGCAAAGCAACACAGCGCAATGACACGCAATGCAAAATAATGTAACGTAATGCAGCGCAATGCAACGCAATGCAAACCAATACAAAGCTATGCAACGCAGTGCGAAGCAATGCACAGCAATGCAAAGCAGCGCAACGTAAAGCAACGCAGCGCAATGCAAACCAGCGTAAAGCAGCGCAAACTAACGCAGGGCAATGCAAACCACGATGCAGAGTCGTGCAACGCAGAGCACTGCAAAGCAATGCAAAGCAACGCGACGCATTGCGACGCATTGATAAGCAATGCAGAGCCACGCCAAGCAAAGCATAGCGATGCCAAGCAAAGTCAAGCAACGCAAAGCAGCGCGAAGCAATGCACTGCGGGCGGCGACGAGGCGGCGGGCGGCGACGACAGCCACGCGGCGGCGGACACGACGCGCAGGCCCAGAGGACGGGCGGCGACAGGGCGGCGATGGCAAGCACACTGCTGTCAGACCGCCAGGCCTCTAAGTGCAAGAACTGTTCGGGGGACACCGAGTCAACGTGGCTGCTGCGTCCTGGCAATCTCATGCTGTCCCAGGAAACCTCTCGTGGGACGTTGCCCGTACGATGCCTTGGAAGCCGTCGTGCAGCTGTGCCGGCGAGAGCCATACTTGGAAAACCACCCGCCCTCCATCCGTGAAACGGTTGTGCATGTTTCAGACGGATGTGCTCTTCGCCAGGGCGAGAGCCACATTTCGGAACGACCCGCCCTCCATCCGTGAAGCTACTGGAAACTTTTTAAGATAAACGTGCGCTGCGCCAAGGCGAGAACGACATTGTGAAGACCACCCGCCCTCCATCCTTGAAACGGTTGCGCGAACTTTTCAGACCAATGCGCTCTGCGCCAAGGCGAGAGCCACATTTTGACAATGACCTGCCCTCCATCCGTGCGCTGCTCCAAGGCGAGAGCTACATTGTGAAAACCGCCCGCTCTCCATCCTTGTTGCGCGAACTTTTCAGACCAATGCGCTCTGCGCCAAGGCGAGAGCCACATTTTGACAACGACCCGCCCTGCAGCTGTGAATTTGTTGCAGATTTTGAGCTCCAGGATCATAGATGGTGAGAGAGTCTCAGGCGAAACGCCCGTCCCGTCCTACCGACACGTCTGGGCGGCGACAGGGACGAGTTATTGTTAAGGAAGAGGGATGGAGGAGGAGGAGGAGGAGGAGGAGGAGGAGGAGGAGGAAGAGGAGGAGGAGGAGGAGGACGAGGAGAAGGAGGAGGAGGAGGCCAGGCAAGCGACGCGACCAAGGCAGCCCGTCCTCCTCCTCCTGCCCCTCGCGCCGTCGCTGCCCCGCTCGCCGCGCTCCTCTGTCCATGTCGTCGTCGCAGCCGTCGCGGTCGCTGTCGTCGCCGCCGCCTTCGTCGCCGCAGCTGTGGCCGTCGTCGCCTTCGCCGCCGTCGTGACCGTCGCCGTTTCCCTCGTCGCCGCCGCCGCTGCCAGCGTCCTCGGCGGCGGCGCCGCTGCCGCGCCGCGGGGGGGCCGCCTGGCAGCGCCCGCGCGGCGAGCCCGCGCGCCGAAGCGGGCGGCCGCCTGGCAGCGCCCGGCGTGGCCCCTCGGCGGGGGCCGCCCGCGCATGGCGCCCGCGCGGCCGCGGCCGCGGCCGGCGTCTCGCGGGGCCAGGCGAGGGTTGGCGACGGCGGCCTGCGGCGTGGGCGGCGGCTTGCGGCGAGGGTTGGCGGCGGCGGCGGCCCAAGAGGCCTCCAAGATGCCCCAGAAGCGTCAGGAGGGCCCCGATGGGCAAGCATCGTCCCATACCTAGAGGAAAGCGTGAAGATGTTTTACCAGATTCGCACTGTTGGTCCGAACGCAGTCCACGGCGACCCAAGAGGCCCCACACCTCACCCCAAGACTGCCCGAGAGGCTGGCGGCGAGGGTGGCAGTCGCGCGCCCGGGCTCGCCCTTGGAAGGCACACCTTTGGCACGGGCAGGGCGCTGGTCCTTGCACGTGCAGGTGCGCTGTCTGAGCGCCCATTCCGTGCCGCAGTTTCCCTTCGAAGGGACGCTTCTGGGGCGCGGCGGCGACGAGGGCGGCTGCGGCGGTCTCGACGAGCGGCGGCGAGCGACGGCGAGGGCGAGGGCGAGCGGAGTCGAGTCGAGTCGGCCCTTCGGCAGTCTGCGTTCGCTTAGCGGCAGCACAAGAGAACAAACAGTCACTCTGGATGGCCAACAGCTGCTGGCAGCTAGTCGTGTGGGTGCCCTGGGAGCGATCGATGGGGCCCCTGGGTTACCAGACCCACATGGGCCCTCGTGAGCTTTGAGGCTGAGGCAGGTTCTGCTGACAAGAATGGAGAGCGAGTTGATGACTTGGGGCCGAGGGTGGGAAATGGGGGAGGGAAGGTCTTCGCTTACGCTCGCTCCTCCTCCCGCTCCTCCTCCTCCTCCTCCTCCTCCGCCCCTTCTTCGCCTTCTCCCTCTCCCTTCTCACCCTCCTCCTCCTCCTGTCCCTCCTCCTCCTCCTCCTCCTGCTGCTGCTGCTCCTCCTCCTCCTCCTCCTCCTCCTCCCCTCCTTCGCCTCCTCCGTTTCCCCCCTCCTCCTCCTCCTCATCCTCCTCCTCCTCCCTCCTCCTCCTGCTGCTGCTTCCTCCTCCTCCTCTCCTCCTCCTCCTCCTCCTCCTCCTCCTCCTCCTCCTCCTCCTCCCCCTTCTCCTCCTCCTCCTTCTCCTCCTCCTTCTCACCCTCCTCCTCACCCTCCTCCCTCTCCCTCCTCCTCCTCCTCAGCAGCAGCAGTAGCGTCATCATTGTCGGCCTCATCATCATCACCACCATTACCATCAGCACCAGCATCATTATCAGCATCATCATCATCATCATCAGCATCATCATCATCATCATCATCATCATCAGCACCATCATCATCACCATCGTAATAATCATCATCATCACCATCATCATCATCATTGCCACCATCATCATCAGCATCATCGTCAGCATCATCAGCATCATCATATTTTTCATCGTCGCCATCAGCATCAGCAGCATCAGCATCACCATCATCATCATCAACACCACCATCATCATAATCGTCGCCATCATCATGATTATCATCATCATCCTACTCATCCTCCTCCTCCTCCTTATCAGGGTCATGATCCTCATCGTCAGCATCATCATCACCATCATCACCATCATCACCATCATCACCATCATCACCGTCGTCGTCATCACCATCGCCACCATCATCATTACATCTACGTCACCATCACCATCATCACCGTCATCGTCAATATCGTCATCATCATCATCATGATGATCCTCATCATCACCATCCTTATCCTCATGCTCATCCTCATCCTTATCCTCCTACTCCTCATCAGCCGCAGCATCCATATCATCATCAGCATCATCATCATCATCATTATCAGCATCACCGTCATCATCATAATCACCATCATCGCTGCCCCCATCATCATCGTCATCATCACCATCATCATCATCATCATAATCATGATCACCAGCATCAGCATCATCATCATCGTCAACATCATCATTATCATCGTTATATCACTTGCATCAGCATCACCAACATCGTCATCATCAGCAGCATCAGCATCGTCATCATGATCATCATCATCATCATCATCATCATCATCATCATCAGCATCAGCATCAGCATCAGCATCAGCATCAGCATCAGCATCAGCATCAGCATCAGCATCAGCATCGTCATCATCATCGTCATCATCATCCATCTTCATCTACTCCCCTGCTTCTCCTTGATCCCATCATCCCACTCCTACTCTACGTCGTGCTGCCGCTGCCGCTACGCTACCTCCTCGTGCGGCTGGTGCTGCTGCTTCTGCTATTCCGCCCTTCTCCCCTCTCAACGTCCTCATCCCCCGCTCCGTCCTCCTCAGCTTCCTCCCTCATCCTCCTGCTTCTTCCCCTCCTCCTCAGCGGTCGCCTTATTCGTCCGCATCATCATCCCTTTTCCTCCTCCTGTCACGCAGGGCGCTGGCTCACCCGAGAGCCGCCGGTTTCGTGCTCAGTTGCTGCCGTGACAGGCGGACTTGTGCGATGAAGCATGCCAGAGAAGCGGCGAGATAACGAGATGGCTTAAAGAGTCTCTTTCGGAGAGATAGAGAGAAATGGCAAGAGATGGAGAGAGATGAAGAGAAAGAGAGAGAGAGAGAGATAGAGACAGCGAGCGAGAGAGAGAGAGAGAGAGAGCAGGAGAGTGAGGGGGTACGTCAGCGCTCACTCGCTTCCCTCCTGGCTTGCGCTGCTTGCTCGATGTGCATGCTGTTTTTTCCCGTCCGTATAGTATTCGTATTATTCGTGTTATTACTAGTATTCGCATTCCGATTTTCTTGTTGTAAGATTATTATTCTTATTACTATTGTCATTACTAGTGTTATCATTACTATTGATGTGATGTTTCATCTTCTTGCGATTCTCCTCCGTATCATATGGTGTCCCCAATCATGTGTTCGCAGGGGTTGAAACGAACAACATGTCAATGTCCGTGGTCGGAGGTTCGCGAACTGTCGACCGATTCTTCAGGACCATCTGTCCGCGAGCTCCAAGGCCCCCAAGGGCCTTGCCCACGGCCGCTCAATTGAGGGGAAAAGGAGATGTTCAAAACGAGCGGTTCGGGAACAGATGTTCGCGAACGATGTCCAGGTCAGCCCTAGAATCGGCCCCTGGACCCATCCTCCCCTGACCATTGGATGCCCGCTGTTTCTGGCCGCTACCGACGATACCGGTCGCTACCGATTTTGCTTCAAGTTCCGGTGTCGGTCACGATTGGTTTGTTCCAAATCGGTCGCGGCCGATCTGTCGCGACTGGTCGCGACCGATGTGGTGTCCAACGATCTGGGTGGGTGCGCTGTGGGCAGACTTCCAAGGGGAATCCAGCCGTGGCTACGAGGGAGCCCCAGGTCCTGGGGCCATGGGACCTGCCAACCGGACGTGCCCGAAAATGCGTGATCCCCAGGACCTTGATTCGTTCTGCGTGGTGTGTGTGTGTGTCTCTTGGGAGTCCCAGGAGTTCCTCTGGACACTCGAGAGACATCTGAGTAGGGACTTCTGGGGTGCGTTGCGGGAAGTTCGTTCTGCGTGGGGTGTGTGTGTGTGTGTGTGTCTCTTGGGAGTCCCACGAGTTCCTCTGGACACTCCAGAGACATCTGAGTAGGGACCTCTGGGGTGCGTTGCGGGAGGCACATGTCAGGGGGGATGCAGCCGCGGCGACGGGAGAGCCCCGGGAAGCACAAGCAAAAAGCGCGCCCCCAGACCTCGACCCTCCGCACCTGCCCATGCGATCCTTGCAACTGGCGGCCCCAGCGCCCCGCTTCGTTTTTCACCCCGGCGCCATGCTTGGTGGCCCCGGGGGCCCGATGAGAGGGCCCCCAGAGGCCGACATATCGAGGAAGAACTTTCAACTGACAAAAAAACATGTCCTACGCTTGCGGATTTGTTGCCGGCCGAAACAAGACTCCGCGCGACCTTCACTTCGTTTTCTCGCGCGCCGTTTCGGGCGAAAGTCCACGCAGAAATCCACGCAGATATCCGCTGCAGCACGTCTGCAAGGCCGGAGCCGTGGCATCTCGTCGGAGACCAGGGGCCCGCGAGTCGAACAAGAGCACTGCTCGCTGGAAGAATCCCAGCGCCGGAGCGCTGGGACCCTCTCGCGAGAGGCCCTCGATCCCCCGGGGGCCGCCCGCCTCCCGCCCGCGCGCGCAGCCCCGCCAGGGGGGCGCATGGCGGAGGCGGAGGAGGAGGCGCTCGAGCGTGAGCTGGGCGCCACTGGCGAGGACGGTGCGGCCGCAGTCGGGGCCCTCCTCAAGTTGGGCCTGTCCCTCTACAGGTGGGGATATTCAAAAGTAGTAAAAAAATCGTCTGGGGACGTTTCTTCGATCATTTTTGACCACTTTGGGGTATTTTTGGGGTATTCTTTTATTTTTCGTCCAAAAATCCGCCTGTAGGGGGACATGCCCGACCTAAGGCCCTCCTCTCGGCGACGAGCGAGGAGGGTGAAGTGACAAGGGAAAGGGTCTTCGCAGGAGGCGGCGGGACACTTCTCAGAAGCCCTCGCGCCTCCCGAAACGTTGTCCGTGCCTGCGGGGAAGGCTTAATATATATATATATATATATATATATATATAGATATATATGTTTATTTATATCTATGTATATATATATATACATAGGAAGCTTCTGAGAAGGCCATGGGGGGACTTCCGCGCCTCCTCGGAAGGCCCGCCCCTCCTCTCCTCCCCCCCGGGCTCGCCGCCACTCCTCGCCACCAGAGCGGCCGGTTCCGGAGGGACTCGGGCCCCGAGGGTTTTCCCTGCCTTCGGGCCCTTCGGTCGCAGTGGTCTCCAGTGCGCATGGGCCCGTCCACCTTGCAGTTCGGCGGTCGTCACGCTATCCTTCGTCTCACGCTGTAGCGCAGCTTCGCGGCCGTGTTTGCAGTGTAGGTCGTGGTGTGTTTTGCGGCGGAGGAAAAAAAGGGCCCCTGGTCCCTCGGGACCTGGGCGTTGCGGCTTTTTCGCACCAGGCGTCTTCGCCCAGTTTCGGGCCCCGGGTACCATCACGGATCGATGCGGCTGGACACGTGCAGCAGGAACATGGGGTCTAGGGCTTGCGCTGTGACTGTCCGATGTTGTGGCGTTGCTCTTGTTCGTTCGCAGCGTCGGCTTTTAGATTGGCGTGCTGCGCTCTGAGCTCAGCCTCCGAGGGCCCTCGCCGGGCCCCGCGGGGCCGTCAAGCTTCGTTTCGAACGCGGCAGGCTCTGCCTACAATTTCTCACGGATTTGGGTTTTCTTTGCAGGCTTTGGTGCGAATCGGACCGTTCAATTTTCAGCGTTGATTTGTCTCTCTTTTTTGTGTGTGTGTGTGGGGGGGGGGGGGGGGCGCTTCTCGTTTTTTCTTTTTTATTCTTTGTTTGCAAAAATGTTTGTGCTCGTTTTTTGCACTCTGTGTTTCTCTGTGTGTTTGTTCTGGGGAGCCACGCCGTGAGAACGCCACGGCGTCGGCTGCCTGGGCCGCCATGGGCCCCTGGGGCCGTCAAGGCATCCTCTCAGGAAGGCGTTTTCTGCGCGGTCCTTGGGGGACCTCCGGACGGTCCAGGACCCGTTTCCTGCGGGGCCCGCCCTAGAGTGAAGTCGGGCATGGTCCTCTACAGGAGGAGTATTCAAAAATTGGTCGAACGAATTACGCTACCTAGGAACCCCACATACTTGTATTATGGCTGGAGTGATAATAGCTGAAGTGAAGCATGCGAGAATGATGTTGGTGACCGTTGCCCCGCCGATGCCGCAAGGACGGCCGTCACGGATAGCGGCCGCGCTCAGGGACCACCCCGTGCGCACCCCCTGTGGTGTCGAGAAAACGCCACGCCTGCCGTGCCCTGGACGACCGTCAGGGATAGCGGCGGCCGCGCTCAGGGACCACCCCGTGCGCACCCCCTGTGGTGTCGAGAAAACTCTACGCTTGCCGTGCCCTGGACGACCGTCACGGATAGCGGCGGCCGCGCTCAGGGACCACCCCGTTCGCACCACCCTGTGGTGTCGAGAAGACGCCACGCCTGCTCTGCCCTGGACGACCGTCACGGATAGCGGCCGCGCTCAGGGACCACCCCGTGCGTCCCGCCTATGGTGTCGAGAAAACGCCACGCCTGCCGTGCCCTGGACGACCGTCGTGCTGTGCTGTGCAGTGCTGTGCTGTGCTGAGGTGCTATGCTGTGCTGTGCTGTGCTGTGCTGGGACCAGCTGAGCTGTGCTGCGCGGCGTGTGTCTCATGTGTGTGCCCATTATGTACGCATACGTCGTGTGTGTGTGTTGTGTATGTGTGTCTGTGTGTGCGTGAGGAGAGGGGGAAGGACAGGGAGGCGGGTGAGGAAGGCGCGGGTGCGACGCGGCAGAGAAGAAAACCATAATAACCCCACGAAACATGTGGGAATGACATGGGGACGATTTGTTGGATGGTTTTGGCAGTTTTGATTATTTATCTATTTATTTGAATAATCGCTCAAACTCCGCATGTAGGGGGACATGGCCGACCTGAAGCCTACCTCGCTCCGTTCCTCCCCCAGCCCAGTCCCCAGACGTCCAGAACACAGGAACTCCAGGACTCTTCACCTCTCTCGGGGGGTTGCTGAATGGGGCCCCTGGCCCAAGGGGCCGCTCTTTTCTTTTTTCTTTTCACTATCCGTGATTTTTGTTGAGCATGTCTGGGGGATGTTCTATTTTTCCTCCAAGATCCGCTTGTAGGAGGACGTGCCCGACCCAGTCCTGGCGGCGCAGCACCAAGGGGATGGCGCGAGGGGGGCGGCCGTCGTTGAGGGCGGGGGGGGCTTCCTGCAGCCCGCAGGATCAAAGGGCGTCGGCCGCGGGGATCGCGGAAGGCATGGCATGCCCTCCCTTGGGCCGCGCCCCCCTGGGACGATGCTGGACCTGGGGTAACCCTACATACGGTAGAGGGAAACAATTACTGAACACTCCCCCTCCCCCCCAAACTCAACGTTGGCACGCGTGGGGGAGACTGCGGTCGAAGTGCATCTCATCAGACCCACCGCCAACTTTGAACATTGGGGGGAGGGGGAGGCGTTGACGGATGAATGTGGCATGTAATCGCTAATTTGTTGCGAGGCTTGTATGCCGGTGGGAATCGCACCCTGGGGGTGATCAAGTCCGGGGTCCTGGGGGGATGATCTTCTCAGGGCGCCAGGGGCGGGGGCACAGCAGACGGGGGGGTACGGGGAACGCCGATTTCCACGTTTGGCTATGCCGCCGTTTAGGGGGCCCTGGGCGCCATAAACGGGGGTACAGTAAGCGGGGGTGTATGGAAAAGCCTAAGCCCCCGTTTAGCTAAACCCCCGTTCCGATTATCAGTTTTCTCGGATGGGTCTCGAATGACGTCCAAGCTCGCCTGGAGAAGCCTTCCCCTGGAGCTTGTTGGGAGGAGTTGGGTGAGCACGAACACTGAGACATTGATCATACTAAGGATTACTCATTGGTGCTGTGCATGATATGAAGATCACAGCGAGGATGTGAATTTTGGGGGTGATCAGACAGTTCGCCCAAAGTTCGCCCCCCCCCCCCTGCGCCTCTTGTGGCGAGTCGACCCCACATACACCCCGTGGATAATCAGATGAAGGGGGTGAAGGGGAGGTCACCTTTATCATCCGCGGCGTGCGGTTAAACTGGCAAGTTCCCAATGCATCTCTCACCCTTATTCATATCAGAAGGTGGTAGCCCGCTTAATATCTCCCCAGAAGAAGTCTCCACAAATAAACTGCCATGTCATCGGAAAGTGGTAAGTTTGCTTGGGATTTCCTCGCAACTGTTTCCGATCGCTTTGAATGCCGCCTAAGAGGCTCCGAGGAAGAATGAGGCTTCTCCTGCTCCTCCTCCTTTGCCTCCGCTGTCTGTGTCGGCCGCAGGCAAGTCTGCCATCAGCCTCTCCTGAGACGAAGGGGGCCTAGGTTCTCTAAGGTAATTTGGAAGAGCCATGCTGGCCACGGCCAATCAGTGGAAAGCGAGCCCGTGTTTCAAGCCCTAGGTTCTAATTGGTCGGTATCACACTATCGGTCCACGGTAGCCACAGAATGAAGTTCTGTTCCGCTCAGATGGTGTGGACTTGTAAGATGTGTGTGTGTGGCTCGTTCTCCAACGGGAGAGCCAGTGAGCTTCACAGGCCATGTCGTTGCGTGCCACACCTACGGGGGTTGAGTATTGAAGCCGACGTGACAAAAGGTTTAATGGCCCAAAGTCCTTAGCAGGGCTGAGTTGCCCGTCTGAGGTTTGTGCGGCCCCCCGTCTAAGTGCAAGGCATATTCTTTCACTCAGCGAACTGACTTGCACGTCGCCGTCGTTGTCGTCGTCGTCGTCGTCGTGTTCGTCCTCCTCTTCTTCATCCTCCACCCCTTCGAGCTCTGCCTCCCCGCACCCCGCGCTGCCTGCTGTGACCGCTCCCCCCTCGACAGTGGGGGCCCCCAGCGCCCCACAGGGCCGCGTGTCAGGCACGCCGTCGTTGGCGGCGTCGGCGCCGCCGTGGTCGTTTGCGTCGTCGCTCGCGTCGTCGTGGCGGGCGGCGGCGGCGGCGGCAGCGGCGTCGTCGTCTTCGTCGTCGTCTTCGTCTTCGTCGTCGTCTTTGTCGTCGTCGGCGTCGGCGTCGGCGTCGGCGTCGGCGTCCGCGTCGGCGTCGGCGTCGGCTTCGTCGGCGTCGGCGGCGTCGTCGCCGTCGTCAGCATCATCGGCGTTGTCGGCGTCGTCGCCCGCGGCGGCGGCGTCGGCGTCGGCCGCGTCTTGTGGGCCCCCGAGCGCCAGGAGCACTGCTCCCCCCCCGCCCCGCACGGCGGCGCCGTGGGGGACGAGCCCGAGGAGCTGCGCCGCCCCGGTCCCTCCCTCGAGGCCTCCCGGACGAGCGACGCAAAAGAACAGGGATAGTGTGCGTCGACATTCGCGCGTGTGTTGCCCGCGTGAGGTCGCGCGTAAGCGCCCTCGTTTCCAATGCAGCGTGCTGCGGTGGCGCCCCGCGTAAGCCACCGCGTAAGGTCGCTGTGGCATGTCGCGTAAGACCCGTTTCTTCGCGTCGCCCACGTGGGGTCCGAGCAGGTGGGGTCGGAGGATCGCGCCGCATCGCCGATGAATCGTCGATGCGGATCGATGTGGGGCCCGGTGTTCGCCACGCCGACTTTGCCGATGCATCGCCGACGATGCTGATGTATCGCCGATGCACCCGTGATGCGTCGACGATGCGGCATGATAGTGTGACCCTAGCTGCTCCGACCCCATCTGGAAGGCCTCTGCTCCCGGGGGGAATTCTCCCTCCCCTGCTGCTGCTGTTCGTCGTCGTCGTCCTCCTCCTCCTCCTCATCGTCCCGGAGCGCACACCCCCGTTCATCAAGATGGGTCTTGAGAACCCTAAGCGTAACAGGCGTGGCCTTTTTCATGGCCGCAACGGCCTCTTACCCCCTGTTTTGGATGCCGACGCCAGCAGGGTGCGGCGGCAGCAGGCGCGCCGCATGATTCCTGGCGAGCTTGGGTAGGGTCCTTGGCCACGTAGACCGTGGCGCTCAGGACACTCCAGGACACTCCTGCCCATCGTCCTGCTCATCCACCTCCTCCTCCTCCTCCTGATTCCTGACTCCTGATTCCTGATTCCTGATTCCTGATTCATCATGGCGTTGGACGTCTCCGACTGTCGCCTCCCCCAGGGGCCCTTCTCCTCCTCCTCCTCCTCCTCCTCCTCCTCCTCGCCCTCCTCCTCCTTCTCCTCCTCCTCCTCCTCCTCCCTCCTCCTCCTCCTCCTCGCCCTCCTCCTCCTCCTCCTCCTCCTCCTCCTCCTCCTCCTCCTCCTCCACCGTACCGTATGTCAGAGTATGGCGCAGGCGGTCCTCGCTTGCTCGTTTGCCCTTTCCCTTCCTCCCCTCCGCTTCCCCACCCCTCCCCCTCGTTTGCCCCCCCCCCCCCCCCCCCCCTGCCCTTCCCTCCCCGAAAGCTGCCCCTCCCCCCCTCTCCCCTCCCCCCCCCCCTCTGGGGACGAGCCCCGGGAGTTGCCTCCCTCTCCCTCTCATGCATCCTCCTCCTCCTCCTCCTCCTCCTCCTCCTCCTCCTCCTCCTCCTCCTCTCCTCCGAGAGAGAGAGAGAGAGAGAGAGACAGAGAAGAGAGAGAGAGAGAGCAGAGAGAGAAAGAGAGAAGAGAGAGAGAGCGAGAGAGAGAGAGAGAGAGAGATCGGCCACGCTCAGAGGAGGCCAGGGGGAGGGGGGACGGCTTCTTAGAAGCACGCGCAGAGGGGGGTGCAGGGGGACCCATTCCCCCTCGCGTTGCGAAGAAATCGGGCGGGAGGTTTTTGGCTATTTTCAGCCTCCGGGGGCCCTCACCGGGCCTGGGGACCGACAAAAAAGATTCAGGATGCAAAACCAGTCCCGGGGAAGGGGTCCAGGCCTCTGGGGGTCGACGTTGTGGCAAAAAGTCACGACGTCGGGGGTCTGGGGAGGGGGGAAGCCTTCTTACAAGCACCCCTGCTTCTTGGAAGGCGCCGGCCTTGTCTCTAGATGCATGGCTGGCGCCTCCCAAGAAGCAGCCTCCTTCTGAGAAGCCTGCCCCCCTCCCCCTGCCCCCTGCCCCCCTGTGCGCGCCGTTAAAGAGAACTTCGGAGCAGATCACGGCGGACAGTCTTTTACAACTGTCGGCCTCTGGGTGGCCTTGCCGGGCCCCTGATCCGCCAAACAACGGCTCGGGTGGAGGGCCTGTCCCAGGAAAAGGTCCAGACCTCTGGAGAGCCACGTTGTGAAAAAGTTCATGACGTCGGATGTCTAGGAGGAGCCCCTTGCTTGAGCGACATTTCGGCTAACAATTGCTTGGACATTTCCGTTGGCTCCTGGAGATTCCCTTGCCAACGGATGCGCTCCAGTAGGTGCGCCTCGCCAGGAGCGATCCATGGGTAGCCAGCTCGTCCCGAACACCCGCATGAGACTCGAGTTATGTATGGCACGAGGCCCCTTGAAAGCAGCGCACGAGAGATCACTCTGGCGAAGGGCCACTCTGGCACTGGTAGCCGGCCCGTCACACCCTCCGTCTCCACCTCCCGCCTTCTCCATTTCGTGGGGCACGGGGACAAGGCTGGGCAGGCAAAAATCAGAAGCATCTGGGAGCCAGCGTGTTGACAGGACACGGGGTGCAGCGCCGCGGGCTTCCCAGAGCGCCCCAGGACGCTCTGATAGCGTTCTGGAGCGCTCTGGGGTGATTCATGCTCGATTCGCTTCCCTGGCCGCTGCGCCGTTGCAGCGGCAACACCACCGTAGGAGACAACCAGACGGTCTCCCTCTCTTCCTCCCCCCTCCTCCTGGCGAGACCCTGGCCCCCCCATTGCAGTGTTGATCGTGCGACCGGCGAAGTTCGACAAAACAAATCGGCCCCGCAGCACCGCATTGAACGGAGGAGGAGGAGGAGGAGGAGGAGGAGGAGGAGGAGGAGAAAAGGAGGAGGAGGAGGAGGAGGAGGGGGAGGAGGAGGAGGAGGAGAAGGAGGAGGAGGAGGAGGAGGAGGAGGGGTGGGGGTCAGAAAAGCACAACTTCTTGCACGGGGGTGCATGAGCTGCCACCGACCCCGAGGGATGCCCTGCTGCGTCTCCCCCCCCGTCCTCCGGCCTTCCGCTCCACTGGCCCCGCCGTCGTCCGACGCCGCTGCAGCCCCGACATGCTGGGAAGACATCCTGGCCGGCGCTTACCTCCTCCAGCTTCGCGCCCGATGTTGTCGAGCCGGACTGATCCGCCGGCGCTCAGCGGCCCGACGCGTGGCGCTTTGCGGTCGGCTCCTGACGCCGCGTGGAGCGCTCAACCCTTGGGGCGATCGCCGCCTCCCGACAGCGCGGATCGCTCGATGTCGGCCGACTCCAGGCCACCAGCGGCGTTCAACCTTGAACGCCCACGCTTGGCAGCCGCATCGAGACGACACGAACCGACCGTGCGATGTTCTGGATCAAATGGCCAGCCCAGACATGCGATATCTTGCGTTGTTGTCCAATCCGTCGGCGTCATCCAAAACTTGCTAATACTGCGCATGCGTCGCCCCCACGAGCGACGCGCGCGCCGAGAACTCTTACAGTAGAATGTCCGTGGCGGACGCTCTCTGGCCATACCGCTCGGGAAACGAGACATCACACTATGCTCATACCATATGTTCGGGTCGGACGCACGCTTCCACTGATGATATACATATATATATAATGTTTATACGCATATATAGATGTATATACACACACGTGTTTATATGTATATATATATACATGTATATATATATATATATGTTTTACTCGTATGTCATTGTGCGTCCCAAAACGGGGTCCTCGCAGGTCCTGAGCTGTTCCCCAGGTCTGGCTCTTCATCTCGATGCGTTCTTGGACGGCCCCGGGGCCCGGCCAAGGCCCCCGGCGAGGCCGAACACGGCCCAACTTTTCCCGCCGGGATCTCTCCATGTCGCGAAGACTCGGGCCTCGAGCGGCCGATCGGGACGATCGGGGCACGCCCGCAACGCACTCGAAGAGGCGCGGCTGCTGGAAACGGCCCCGGGCGAGAGAACCCCGAGGAAGCCACGCACACGCCGGAAAACAGCGGTCCTGGTCAGTGTGTCCCTCCCCCTCGGGCGAGGAAGTCTTCCGCGCCGGAGTGCCCTCCTCCTCCGCGCGGCCGCCCTGGTCCCTTTTCCCCCCCCCTTGCACGCCGGCCACGTTGCCACTCGGTCGCCCCGACTCGCCACCCGCTGGAGCCGCTTTTCCGCCTCGCCGCCGACGGACAACGTGCCTCTCGCCCTTCCCCTTCCCCGGGGCTATGATGTTCCAACCTACTTTGGCCTTGATCGCCAAGAAGAGTTTCGTGCGCCAGGAGAGCACCGACGCTTCCGAGTTTTCACGTGTCGGGCCCTGGGAGGCAAATGCTCGTTCGACACTGTTTCGATACTCCTTCTGGGTGTTCGACATTCTTTCGGGGATGTGGTCCCTGAGTACGGTGGGAGTAACGTAGCCCGGGAGCCAGTTTCAAGTCGGGCCTGTCCCTCTACCGGAGGAATCATCAAAAGCAGTTAAAATTAGTTGGGTTTTTTTCTTTATTTTTGAGTATTCTGAATTTTTTGCCCAAAATCCGCCTGTAGGGGGACACGCCCGCACAAGGCCAGTTTTCCATCCTCCTCCGGGGGCCAGGCCTCCACTGTGCGAGCACGCCTGGGAGCGCAGGTGGGGAGAGAGGCGGGGGGAGAGCTTGGCACCGCCCGGGCGGCCGCGCGCGCCCGCCGCACCGCGTGGCGGCCGCGCGCCCGGCTCGCCGCGGGGCGGGGCGGTCTTTCAGAGGAGGAACAGGCACCCCTAAGTTACTTCTTTCCAGTCTGTGCTTTTGTGTGGCCAATGTGGTTATATATATATATATGTGTGTATATATATATATATATATATGTATCGCGTCGTGCATGTGCCGGGTCGTGGCCTGGGCATGCCGAGGGCCTGGTGGGGCAGCGGCCCGCACTTCCAGGCACGGGGGGCTGGCCTGCGTGGCCGGTCGAGCGTGCGCGCCCTCTGCGAGGCCACGTGTGCCTCGTGGGATTTCGCTTTGTGCAGTACAATTGGCGTTGCGTATGGCGGCTTTGGGGACGGTGCAGTCAGCCTTGGGCGGCCAGTGATTGGCCTTCCAGCACCCCGCACACCTCTACCTCTTGGCCGTTTTCCCCTTTTGGGGCCTCCTGGGAGGCCCTCGTCGCCACCGCTGGATTCGCGTCGAAATTCTGGTGAGAACGCACCCCGGGAGAGGTTCCGGGGGTAATTGGCGGTATCGTTACCCTTGGGTTTCCCCAGTCTTTGGCGCTGGCACACAGTGGCGCTGGCTGGCCTGGCAAGCGGGGAGGCTCACCAGCCTCGAGCTTATCCCTGTCCCTGAGATTGGCAAACCCAAGTGCGATGACAATCTCAGGAATGCGCCCTCAGAAACTGAGGGAACCCTTAACATCGGCGTCGGGATAAGGTGATGCAGTCCATAGTGATGGTGATATGCTTCAGGCTGGTAAGGAGGCGGGGTCACGGTCCACGGGCAGCGGGCCCACAGTCCGGGATGCCGGGATTCTTCGGCGTCCGACGCACGGCCGATCCAGGGGCGACGCATGCGCGACACCCCCTTGTGTCAAGTCGGGCCTGTCCCTCCACAGGAGGAAAGTTCAAAAATGGTGAAAATAGTTGTGAGACGATTTTTTGACTAGGTTGGTAATTTTTGTGTTTGTTTTCGATTCTTTTATATGTTTCATTCAAGGTCCCCCTGTTGGGGGCCACGCCCGACCTAAACGTAGGGGCGACCTTGCTGGGCCTTTTCGCACCCACGGAGGTCAGCGGCTGGTCCGGCAAGCAGGGGCCGTGGAGAGCCAAACAATAACACCAAGACCTCGACATCTAACCTTAAGTCGGGCAAGTCCCTCTAAAGGAGGAATATTCAAACATAGTCAAACCATAGTCGGGGGACGAATTATTATTATAACTATTATTATTGTTATTATTGATATTATCATTATGACTATTACTTATTTTTTATTAGTGCTCGTATTATTGCTATTGATATTAGCATTGCCATTCTTATTATTGTTATTAGTATCATCACTATCTATATCAGATTAGTATCATCATCCTCATTATTACTATCATTATAAGTATTAGTATTCTTCTTCTTATTATTACTGCTATATTAATATTTAGTCATTGTGTATTATTGTTTTCCCGCCCACAATCCGCCTGAAGGGGACATGCCCGACCTGAATCTAAGCTGGGCTCGAGCTAAACAGTGCTTGGGCGATTCGTCGGACCGTTTTCGTGTTGATGCCGCTTCGCAGCGACAGGCGGAGCGAAGGCAGAACGAGGGACAACGAAAACACAACCTACGTCAAGCGCCTTCCTCTTGCAAGAACCGATATTCTGCTTCTGCTGCGTTTTGTTGCTCTCGGGGCGGGCCTGAACTTAATGTGCTGGATCCGCCTTCCTACTTCATGGTTCTGCCTACTTCTTCCGGCCGATGGGCAAACACTGCTCAGCCTGAGCCCCACATCCAAGGTCAAGCCGAGTTTTTTGTTCCTGCCGCTCCAGTGCCTACAGCCTCGGAGGGCCTGGGTTTTTCCAGCACCAGGAGGGCAGGGGCAGCGGGCCCACGGAGGCCGGGGGCAGCGCAGAATTTGGCCCCGGAGCTGCTTACATCGGGCCCTCCCCTCCTCCTCCTCCGCCTCCTCCTCCGCCTCCTCCTCCTCCTCCTCCTCCTCTTCCCCCTCCTCCTCCTCCTCCTCCTCCTCCTCCTCCTCCTCCTCCTCCTCCTCCTCCTCCTCCTCCTCTTCCTCCTCTGTTTATCACTGGGGGGAGCAGCGCTCCCCGGCAGCGACGTACTCATGGTTCTTCCCCCCTCTGCGGGCACCAAGACTATATACCACCACCACCACGTCCATTCCCGCTCCCTCCTCCGCCCTCCTCTCCCCCTCCTCGCTCCTGGGGGAGGGAGGGGGAAGGGGAGGTGGTGGTGGTGCTGTATATTTTTAGGCCCCGTATCATCAGCATTGTGACCCCTAGCCGGCGTCTCAACCTATGTTGAATTCAGCATCGGTGTTGGTATATCTGAGGTCGACAAACTATTCTGGCGAAATCCCGCTTAATTGGGCTCACTCCTGCTCGAACGGGATTAATCTAACTTAATCCTTGGCCCAATCTTGTTTAATCTGGCCAACTGGCCCCCGAATCGGTCTGACTAGCATCCAATCGTTCTTGCGAAGACCACCAAGGAGTTGCCTCCCAAGTTTCCCTATGAAGACCCTATCGCCGATCCACTTGCGATGCATCGCCGATTCCAGCCCGATGCTTCCCTCTCCGAGCTGGCCACCCCTTGACGTTCCCCCTCGGGTGGAAAGGAGTCCTGCATGCCTTTCGCCGTTTTCGGGCCCCTGCAGGGCCCTCGGCGGGCCCCAGGGCCTTCAGTGCACGACTCGGGATCGAGGGCTGGTCCTGGCGCTGCTCCAGGTGCGCCGGGCGTGGCCTGGGCGGCGAGGTGAGCTCGCTCCGCCGCACCAAGAGGGAGGACCCAGGCATGCGACGTCGGAGTTTTTGTCGCAGCGTGGCTTCTCAGAGGCCTGGGTCCATCCTGGGGGCCGGCTTTCAGCCCCGAGTCGTGTTTTTGCGGTTTTGGGGCCTGACAAAGGGTTCCTGGGGGTCGACAAATGGCAGCACTTGTTGTCGTGGTTCTTCATCGCGTGAGGTTGTTGGGAGGTGGAGGAGGAGGAGGAGGAGGAGGAGGAGGAGGAGGAGGAGGAGGAGGAGGAGGAGGAGGAGGAAGAAGTTGGGTCAGGTCCAGTCCGTCGAATGACTTTTGGGCCATGGCCGAGGCACAGGGCCGGCTGCAGGCAGCGGACCTCACAGAGAGCTGCCCGACGTCTTCGGCGCCTCGCCGTGCCAAGTTTTCGTGGAGCGTGGGCCCAAGACTCCACGACGTGAGCGTCGGACGCAGCTGGGCCTCGCGCCTCTCCCTGCGCTGCCCCCGGGGCGCGATGTCCCAGCGCCGCGCGGTGCCGATGCCGAGAGTGCCCCTGGAGGAGGCGGAATCTGGAGCCTCTCTCCACGGTGCTTCCTCCATCGAGCGACAGCGGACACCGGACCCACCCTCATTTTCCAAGGCGCACGGGCCTGGCATCCCCGCGCTCGAGGCCGGCTGCAGCCCGAACATCCCCCTGCCGGACTTCCACGGTAAGCTGCGCCAGGCGCCAGCGGCTCCTCAGCCCGATGACGAGGAGGAGCCTCGGACGGCGCGCGAGGACGCCGCGCGCGAGAAGTTCTACTACCAGTTCCCAGAGGAGTCGGAGCCTCCAGAGGCATTCCGCGGCGGGGAGTTATCCATAACCGCCGCCTGGGGCTTCGACCTTCGCGGACCTCCACAGGCGGTGGATGTGGAGATAGTCGGCCCCCCGTGGGCCAGAATATATCCATATCCACCGCCTGCTGGGGCACCAGGACGTCGGTCCCCAGGCGGTGAAAATGGATAAATCCCCACCTCGCAGGCATGCACCGTCAACCTGAGCGCCGCGCTGCCTTTCGGGATGCAGAGGCAGCGCACGCCCACCGGCAGCTTCGGGGGCCTCTTCGACCCGCCCCTGGCGGCTGGCTGGAGCGACTGCGCGAAGGACTTCCGCGGGGAGCTGCGGAAGAGCGCCGCGGGAGACCAGGTGGTGTCGATCGGCACCCTCGGGCACCCGCACTCCTGCAGCGAGCCATGCAAGCACCGCAAGCGCAAGACCGGCTGCCTCCTGGGCGCGAGCTGCCCAAGATGCCACCTGTGCCACTGGCGGTCGCGCCAGAAGAACGGACGGCGTGAACGGACCTCTTCGGAGCTCCGCGCGGAGTTCTTGGGTCGGCGCGGGGCCCCCCCCTGGCGGCGCCTCCGCGCGCCAGCGGAGGGGGAGGGGCCCAGCGACGACCCGAGAAGTCCGCGCCGACCTCCGCAGATGTCTGCGGTCGGGAGCGTGCGCTCCGCGTGGCGCTCTGCCGGCTCCGGCCCGCCACGCTTCGGCGCAGCACGATCTGCCGCTGCCCAGCCCCGAGGCGCCCACGCCGCGAGCCTCGGGGCCTCCAGCCACCTCCCGCCAGGCGGAGCGGGGCGACACGCTGCTCCAGATCTCGTAAGAAAGGGAGGGGGGTCTCATTTCGGGGGGGGTCTCTTCCAGGCTATCTTGGAGGGCCTGGGGGGGGGTCTGGGGACGATGTGTTGGAGGGTTCTCCCACGGGGGGGGGGGGGTCTGAAATGGCTTGTCTTGGGGGGTCCAGCCCCCCTCCCTTTTATTACGAAATCTGGAGTGCCCATTCGCATGGCACAGCGTGTCGCCGCGGCCGCCGCCTCGGCACGCCGAGCAACAGTTCCTGACCGTATTCGGCATCACCCAAACATTCTAGTACTACTGGTGTGTCTGCAACCCAGGGGGCGTCGCGAGCACGGGGAAATCTGATAGTATGTGCTCCGTGGCGGGCACTGTCTGGCCATACCGCTCGGGAAACGATGCACAACGATCTGTATGCAGCATACGATCTGGTCGAACCCATGCTTCCAGGGAGGATACATCCCACTAGTATGTCCTTCTGCGTCTCACGTATGCTACGGTCGGACCGAGGTATCAGATCGAGGTCGGTTCGGGGAGGGCACCTTACTGCTCTCCGTGCGCTTGCCGGAGGTCCCCGTGCATCCTGGGAGGGCACCCTCGGATGTTCTTCCGCTTGGCCGGCGGAGGGCCTCATGTGTTTGGAAGGATGCTCTTGCGTCCCGGGTCCAGGCCGTGCTTCTTGCCGCTTGCTCCTCGGCGTCCGTTTGGGTCCGGGGATCGGCCGACCCGGGCCCCTTCGCCTCGGCAGGCTGCCCCTGCGCGGGCCCCGGCCCCGCGGCGGCAGCGGGGGGGGGGGGGCGAGGGGGCTCAGGGCCAAGCAGCGGCGAGAGGCGCCCCACCTGGCCTACCGCCGGCGAGGAGAGCCCGCCGGGGGGGGGGACGTTGGGCGGGGCGGACCCTCTCGGGAGGCTCGGAGGCCCCCAGCCTTCCAAGAGGTGGTCTTCGCCTTCCCCGGAGACGCAGAGGGCTCCTCAGAGGGCGCGGGGGCCTCTGAGAAGCCCCGCCGCTTCCCGAGAAGGCGTTGTCCTTCTCACTTCCCCCCTCGCTCGCCGCCGCCAAACAATGTTCGAGGAACGTTTTTGTTGAGCCGTCTGGGGGATTCCAGGTTCTGCTCTCGAGGCCTCTTTTTTTGGTCGGTACCCCAGGGGCCGTTTTCGGGGGCCTTTTGCAAGGTGAAGAATTGAACTTAAGTCGGGCGTGTCCCTCTACAAAAGGAAAACTCGAACATGGTAAAACAGAAATGTCTGGGGACGTTTTTTTTTATATATATATATATACATACATGTTTGAATATGTTTGGGGTATGCTTGATTTTCGTCCAAAATCCGCCTGTAGGGGGACATGCCCGACATACAACTACACTAGAAGGACCCCTGGAGGGATCGGGGGACAGATTTTGAGCGGATCTGGCCCCATATCACCTGCTCCTGATATACTTCCCGGGGTGCCAGCCAGCTCTGATCCCCTGGCCGTCTCAAACTACCGTGTTTTGCACGAGCTGCTCTCAACACATTTCTGGCTGAGACCGCCTTGTTTTAATACGTCGGCCTGGTGTAACAGGAACGTTGCTAATGTTCTCGGAACATGTCTTAGTTCTAAGCTTAAGTCGTGCCTGTCCCTCTACAGGAGGAAAATTCAAGAATTGTCAAAGATAGTCTGGGGACGATTTTTTTTTTTTTTTTTTTTTTTTTTTTTTTTTTTTTTTTTTTTTTTTTTTTTTTTTTTTTTTTTTTTTGTAGTTTTTTGAGCATGTTGGGAATAAGTATTTGTGGCTCGTCGTCCAGAATCCGCCCGTAAGGGGGGGGGACACGCCCGACTTCATTCTGAGCTCCTTCTGTGGCAGGCGTGCAGGAGAGCGGGGGGGACGGCCGCTCCCCAGCGATCCGCGGGAGACAAAACATCCCGAGCCTGCCTCGCGGTCTTCGCCGGCGCCTCGGCGCCGACCCCAACAGATCCGCGCGGAGCGCCGACGGTTCACGGCAGGTGCGCGTCGTGCCGGCGGGCGGCGGCCCCACCGCGTGCCTTTTCAAGGCTGAAGGCCGCCCGTGGTCCAGAGTCGGCCCTCCTCCTCCTCCTTCCTCCTCCTCCTCCTCCTCCTCCTCCTCCTCCTCCTCCTCCTCCTCCTCCTCCTCCTCCTCCTCCTCCTCCCTCCTCCTCCTCCTCCCCCCTCCTCCTCCTCCCTCCTCCTCCTCCTCCTCCTCCTCCTCCTCCTCCTCCTCCTCTCCTCCTGATCATCATCATCATCATCATCATAATCATCATCATCATCATCATCATCATCATCATCATCATCATCATCATCATCATCATCATCATCATCATCATCATCATCATCATCATCATCATCATCATCATCATCATCATCATCATCATCATCATCATCATCATCATCATCATCATCATCATCGCCCACGGAACGGCCGATCGTTCAAGTCTGAACGAGCCCCGCGGTGTCAGGAGCCAGCGCTGGGGTCGGGACGGCGCGAGCCCGCCGTAGGTTTGTGCAGCGCTTTGGTCCTCGGCACGAGAATCTGGTCGCCGGTCGTCCGAACATGTGTTGGTGCGCGCGTCAGGGCGGTCGGGGCGATCCCGAGCCATACGCTAGAATCTCCTGAGGTGGTGGCCGGGCAACCACCGCGTGTCCGACGTGTCTGCCATTGTTGTGATGCGTGCGTCACTGGGGATCTGTGGGTGCCATGTTCTGAACACCTGTGTACGGAGGGGGCGTTCGGTAAGGAATGTGCGTAGGAATTTTGAGGCCCTGGATGACTCCTGATCTGATGAGGGCGGCGGTGGCATCCATGGCCAATCCACGATTTGAGTGCCATCGGCGTCCAGACCCTGGATGCCTTATCCAGTAGTTCCTTCTCCACTCAGACCCCCGACGTCGTGATTGTTTCAGAACTTCGACCCCCAGTGGTGTTGACGCATTCCTCGAGACCCGTTCTTCCTCCTGCATCGTTTTCTGACGGCCCCGAGGCCTGGGAAGATCCCCCAGAGCATGGAAACAGCGTAAAACCTCCCGCCATGATTTTTTCATGACCCGAGTGGGTCGGTACGGTAGGTTCATGCGTCGTTGTTGCGCTGGCGACGCCGGCGACGGCGTTCAAGGTCGAGTTCTGCGACGCTAAGCACCGATCGACACGGTAACGCCACTGGGCCCGACTGAACTCGACCTTGAACGATTGGGGCCGCGGTCGGTTCAAGGTTGAACGATCGACGCGGGGTCAATAAGCCTGTGCTTGCGCCAGCGCCCTGTGTCTTGCTCCTCCAGGTCGGAGCGTGCCCTGGCGGCGCTGGAGCAGCGGCCAGCGGCGCTTGCGCCGGCAAGGGCGCAGGCGCCGCCGCAGCCCCCCTGGGAGATGGCGCTCCCGGCGCCGCCGCAGGCCTCGGGGCCGCGAGCTTCTCGGGCCCAGCGAAGGGGTACGTACAGCCAACCCGCGTAGTATTAAGTCGGGCCTGTCCCCCTACAGGGGGATTTCGACAACAAATAAGAAATACCTCCAAAATAGTCAAAAAATAATCCAAAAATAGCCTGGGGACTATTTTTCATTTTTTTGTTTAATACCTTTTGGGGGTATTTTGGTGGTATTTTTTTGTTTCTTTCGTCGAAAAATCCCCCTGTAGGGGGACACGCCCGACTTAAGCATAGTAAGTATGTGCAACTTTCCGAGGTCCTCCTCGCATCTTCAGGGGCAACGACAGGGGGGGGGACAGGCATGTGTATAGGGGGGGACGCATCGCTCCCCAGTCGCCCATTGATCGCCGACCGGGGCCCGATAGCCCCACCCCGCCTCGCCGGGCCTCGGGGCCGTCAAGAGACGGCGCAGGATGAAGAAGCGGCCCGGGGAGAGGGTCTGGGCTCCCGGGGACGCCGCACTGAAGAAATCAGGTCGTCGCATGTCTGGACCTAGGGGGGGACGCATCGACCCCCACTCGCCCATGGATCGCCGGCAGGGGCCCGATAGCCCCAACCAGCCCGGGAGGGTGCGGATGCACTATCGGAGGCCCATCGCCGATCTATCGGCGATGCATCGCCGACTCCAGGTCGATGTTTCCCCCCCCATCACTATCCCCCCCTCAAAATCACACCGCAGGAAATCTGGGAAGAATCTGAGGCTGCCCGCGAGGCCCCCCGCCTGGTGGAGCCGGCGCGCAAGGATGGAGGAGCCAAAAAAGCGGCATCAACAGAAATCGAGCAGTGGCGAAGCGTCCTGGCTTTCCCTATAGGCCCGCCAAAGCATGTTATAATAACTTCTTGTGGTCTTCACGACATGTTCTCAGAACCTTTCTGGCTGAGACTGTCTTGTTTTGACGCATCGGGCTTATGTTCTAAGGACACTGCTTTTGTCCTTAGAACATCTTGGTGTTCTAAGAACATTCCGTGGTAGCCCTGTAGGATTGCCTGGACGGCCCGTCCCTGCTGAGAGAAAATTCTCGGAGCTCCGCACGGCTTTCTTGGATGGGCGCTGGCCGCCGCCCCCCCCCTTTCCACTGGCGCGCGGAGCGCGCCAGGGGCGGCGCCTGCGCCGGAGGCGCCGCCAGGGGGGGCCTAATTAGCTCGGAGGTTCGTAGAGGGGGGGGTATCCCAACGTGAGGTTAGGGAGCGAACCCAGCTGGATCGGCGCCACCCCGAGATACTTCTACTACATGTGCGTCGCCCCCCAGGGGCGACGCGCGCACCGAGAAATCTCCCAGTGTATGCGTCGTGGCGGGCGCTTTCGGGCCGCACCGCTTGGGAAACGATATGCTACAAGATGGGTATACTATATGTTCGGGTCGGACGCGCGCCTCCAAGGAGGACACATAGTATTAGTATGTCTCTGTGCGTCCCACTGGATGCTCACACTTCCTGCTTCCAGGGGCCGTCTACCGCGGTGTTGCTTCCAACCCCACAACCCACCTCTGTCCCTGCCCCACCCTTGCGCCCCCCTGACCAGTGCCGATCCAAGAGGTCCGCGCGGGCCCTGAGATCCGATGTTGCGAAAAGCGATCGACATCGCGAACAGTGGCGACCAGTACCCTGAACCCCAGCTTCCTGCTGCATTTTCCGAGCCGGACCGATTGGGGACGGCCTCAGGGCCCGAAAAACCATCCGAAAACGCCAGGTGTGAAAAAAGAGTGGAACGCCCAGATCTCGGGGGAGCCCCGCACGTTTATGCTCAGCCGTTTTGTTTTCCTTTTCCCAACCCAAATCATCCGTTACGTAATGGCCTCAAAACCGTTGCTTGGACCCCGACTCGCTTGGACCCCGACTCCCGACATGCGACCCCCTTCGGTCGTGACCGAAATTCGACTCGGCCACAATTCGTTACCGACAATTTTCGTCGCGGACGCAGACATGTGATGTTCTGATGTTTTTCAGTACGCGGTCCCTGGAAGTACCGACCCTTCCCCCAGGGCTGGCTTTCATCCCGAGTACTTTTTGTTTACGGTCCCGAGGCCTGGTGAGGGCCCCCAGAGACCAAAAGTTGCCCAAACCTCCCGTCCTGGTTCTGCCCACGACGCGGGCATGTCTGGGGATGCTCTGGGAAGGATCGACTACACGCAAGAGTGACCCTTCGCTGGAGTGACTTTTCGGGACTCGGCGCCCGCCGCCGCGGGGGCCTCCTCGTCCTCCTCGTCATCCTCCCTCTTCCTCCCTCCTCCTCCTCCTCCTCCTCCTCCTCCTCCTCCTCCTCTTCCTTCCTCCTCCTCCTCGTCCTCCTCCTCGTCCTCCTCCTTCTCCTCCTCCTCCTCCTCCTCCTCCTCCTCCTCTCCCTCCTCCTCCTCCCTCCTTCTCCTCCTCCTCCTCCTCCTCCTCCCCCTTCCCCTCCTCCTCCTCGTCATCCTCGCTCCTTCTCCTCCTCCTCCTCCTCCTCCGATCGCTGGCTCCAATGCGATAGCAGCGTCCTGCGCGGTCGGGTCTGGGCCCCTCGCGCCTTCACCAGAGGGCGCGCGCCAGAGGTCACTCTCCTGCCCAGGGTCAAGTCGGGCGTGTCCCTCTACAGTCGGGGCCCTGAAGAAGGAACCCTTTTCGTGGGGGAGGGGCTCCGCGTTCCTTAAGTGTTTCACAGCTTGCCTCAGGTTTTCTTTATGTTCTCGATCGGAAATCGAAGTTTAACTGATGGAAAAGAGGGGCCTCGTTCCTTATTTAGGGTTCCTTAGGTCAACGCCCCGACTGTACAGGAGGAGTATTAAAAATCGTAAAATCATAGCCTGGGGACGATGTTCAGAGTATTTTCGACTATCTCAAGTATTTCCGCACATCCTGAGTGGGGTTCTTGTTTTCCTAGACCACCCTCTCCTTCTCCTTCTCCTTCTCCTCCTTCTCCGCTTCTTTCACCCATACCATACAATTTTTGCCATACCCTACCAATACCATACGTATTATACTATTACGTACTATCGGAGGTTGGGGGGTGAGTCCGACGTGAAACGGAGACCCCCTCTATTGGGAGATCGATTTCAGTTTTGGGTTCGTGTCTTGCGTGCCGTGCGTGCTGTGCGTGCGCGCGTGCGGGCGAGGCGAAGTGTGTGGGCGGGCGAAAGGAAATCCTCCTGTGGCTGGGCCGCGGCCGGACCAAATGATTCTCCTCCGGCGGCCGGTGGCCCGCGGTGTCCCGCGGGTGTCCCGCTGGTGTCCCGAAATTTTCCTGTGGCTGGGCCGCGGCCGGACCAAATGATTCTCCTCCAGCGGCCGGTGGCCCGCGGTGTCCCGCCGGTGTCCCGCTGGTGTCCGCAAATCCTCCTGTGGCTGGGCCGCGGCTGGACCAAATGATGCTCCTCCCGTCAAACGGTGGCCCGCGGTGTCCCGCTGGTTTCCCGCTGGTGTCCCGGCGTGGCTGCGGCGAGCTATCCAAAGCAAGTCTACATGCAAACCGACATGCAAACCGAAAAGCACATCGAAATGCAAATCGACATGCACATCCAAATGCACATCGTAAGGCGCCGTAGGTTGTGTATTCAAAAGAATCGGCGCCTGCGGCGAGCTTTCCAATGCAAGTCGACATGCAAATCGAGATGCAGATCGAACAGAACATCGACATGCACATCGATATGTCGACATGCAAATCGAGGTGCAGATCGAAAAGCAACTCTACATGCACATCGGTATGCACATCGAGTGCGCTTCGTCAGCATCGCCACATCACATCACGCTCACGATCACAATCACACTACTCACTAGACTGCGCACCACAGGCATTGTCAGAACAACAATTTTTACTGTTGCCCATTGCTGGCCCCCCCCCAAACCTCCTTATCACCCGCAGGGTCGTATAGGTATTCTACCATACCATCGGAGGTTGGGGGGTGAATCCGACGTGAAACGGAGATCCCCCCTACCGGGAAATCGATTTCGGTTTCGGGTTCGTGTCGTGCGTGCCGTGCGTGCGTGCGGGCGAGGCGAAGCTGCGTGGGCGGGCGAGAGGAGATCCTCCTGTGGCTGGGCCGCGGCCGGACCAACTGTTTCTCCTCCGTCGGCCGGTGGCCCGCGGTGTCCTGCCGGCCTCCCGCTGGTGTCCCGAAATTTTCCCGTGGCTGGGCCGCGGCCGGATCAAATGATTCTCCTCCAGCGGCCGGTGGCCCGCGGTGTCCCGCCGGTGCCCCGCTGGTGTCCATCACACCACGCCAACATCGCCACATCACATCACGCCCAAGGGCATAATCACACTCCTCACTAGACTCCGCCCGACAGGCATCGTCAGAACAACAATCACCACTTTTGCCCATGGCTGCCCCACCCCCCAACCTCCTTATCACCCGCAGGGTGGTCGTATTGGTCCGTATCCTACCATACCACACGTACTATACTATACCATACCTGCCATACCGTACCTATCGTATTACCTGCCATCCCCTACCATACCGTTCGCATTATATTATACCATACCTGCCATACCATACCTACCGTATTCGCAAACTATACTAGATATCAGGTTTCGTGCCCCTCCCACCCCTCCAGGGAGGCCCCGCCAGAGCGAGGAGGGCATTCGCGAATTATACTAGTTGTCAGGTGTCGTGCCCCTCCCACCCATCCAGGGAGGTCCCGCCTGAGCGAAGACGGTATCCCCAAACCATACTATTTACAAGGCTTCGTGCCCCTCCCAACCCTTCAGAGAGGCCCCGCCTGAGCGAGGAGGGTATCCCAAAACCATACTATTTACAAGGCTTCGTGCCCCTTTCCAGCCTTCTAGGGAGGCCCCGCCTGAGCGAGGAGGGTATCCCCAAACCATACATGTTTCAAGGTTTCGTGCCCCTCCCACTCCTCAAGAGAGGCCCCGCTTGAGCGAGGAGGGTATCCCCAAACCATATTATTTACAAGATTTCGTGCCCCTCCCACCCCTCCAGGAAGGCCCCGCCCGAGCGAGGATGGTATTTCAAAACCATATTATTTACAAGGTTTCGTGCCCCTCCCACCCCTCAAGGGAGGCCCCGCCTGAGCGAGGAGGGTATCCCTAAGCCATACTATTTACAAGGCTTCGTGCCTCTCCCAGCCCTCTAGGCAGGCCCCGCCTGAGCGAGGAGGGCATCCCCAAACCAAGATATTTACACGGGTTCGTGCCCTTTCCAGCAGCCCTCTAGGCAGGCATCGCCTGAGCGAGGAGGGTCTCCCAAAACCATATTCTTTCCAAGGTTCGGTGCCCTTCCCACCCCTCCAGGGAGGCCCCGCCTGAGCGAGGAGGGTATCCCCAAACCATCGTATGTATTAGGCTTCGTGCCCCTTCCAAATCTCTAGGCAGGCCCCGCCTGAACGAGGAGGGTATCCCAACACCATACTGTTTACAAGATGTCGTGCCCTTCCCACCCCTTAAGGGAGGCCCCGCCTGAGCGAGGAGGGTATCCCATAACAATATTGTTTACAAGGGTTCGCGCCCCTCCCACCCCTCTAGGGAGGCCCCGCCTGAGCAAGGATGGTATTCCACAACCATACTATGTGTCAGGTTTCGCGCCCCTCCCAGCCCTCTAGGCAAGCCCCGCCTGAGCGAGGAGGGTATCCCCAAACCATTTTATTTCGTGCCCCTCCCACCCCTCAAGGGAGGCCCCGCCTGAGCGAGCAGGGTATCCCCAAACCAAACTATTTACACGGTTTCGTGCCCCTCCCACCCGTCCAGGGAGGCCCCGCCTGAGCGAGGAGGGTCTCCCACAACCACACCAGATATCAGGTTTCGTGCCCCTCCCGCCCCTCCAGAGGGGCCCCGCTTGAGCGAGGAGGGTATCCCCAAGCCTTATTATTTACAAGGGTTCGCGCCCCTTCCCACCCCTCTGGGGAGGCCCCGCCTGAGCGAGGAGGGTATCCCATAACCATACTATTTACAAGGCTTCGTGCCCCTCCCACCCCTCTAGGCAGGCCCCGCCTGAGCGAGGAGGGTATCCCAAAACCATACTATTTACAAGGTTTCGTGCCCCTCCCACTCCTTCAGAGAGGCCCCGCCTGAGCGAGGAGGGTATCCCAAACCATACTATTTACAAGGTTTCGTGCCCCTCCCACCCATCCAGGGAGGCCCCGCCTGAGCAAGGATGGTATTTCAGAACCATATTATTTACAAGGTTTCGTGCCCTCCCACCCCTCCACGGAGGCTCCGCCTGTGCGAGGAGGAGGGGGAATTCGGCGAAGAGGAAGGGTTGATGGTGATGATGGTGGAGATGATCATGATGAAGATGACGATGACGATGACGACGACGAAGCTGATGATGGTGATGATGATGATGATGATGATGATGATGATGATGATGATGATGCTTATGCTGATCACGATGCTGATGATGCTGATGATGATGCTGCTGTTGCTGATGATGATGATGATGATGATGATGATGGCGATGATGATGATGCTGATGATGATGATGATGATGATGATGATGGTGATGATGGTGGTGGTGACGGTGATGATGATGAGGATGATGACGATGATGATGCTGCTGCTGATGATGCTGCTGCTGATGCTGCTGCTGCTGATGATGCTGATGATGATGATGATGAGGATGATGACGATGATGATTATGATACTGCTCCTTCCTTCCTCTCCTTCTTCTCCTTCCTCCCCGCCTTATCGGCATTCCTGCTCTTGCTCGCCCGAACTGCCCATTCTGCACTGCTGAGGTTAATGCTGCCGAGCGCGGCCTCCTTTGACCGCGTCCTACACATCCATCCACCCCCCCATGCTGCTTCCCCTCTTCGCCTCCGTCGGCCCTTCCATGACAATACATGGGCATCATAGGCCTTGATTTTTTGGCATTGTTTTTATGCCCTCGTGATACCGCCAACCCCGTAACATCCTTATGTGGGGAACTCTGTTAGCATATGTTCTGCCACCTTTTATTTGTCACCCAAAATCCGCCTGTAGGGGGACATGCCCGACCTAAGCCTAGGGTCCTGTTCTGACAGGCCGATCTTCCACCACTACTGCCATCGTTGGGTAGGAAAGGGAGGAGGAGGAGGAGGAGGAGGAGGAGGAGGAGGAGGAGGAGGAGGAGGAGGAGGAGGGCGAGGAGGGCGAGGAGGCGGAGGAGGAGGAGGAGGAGGAGGAGGAGGAGGAGGAGGAGGAGGAGGAGGAGGAGGAGGAGGAGGCGGAGGAGGAGGAGGAGAGGAGGCGGAGGAGGAGGAGGAGGCGGAGGAGGAGGAGGAGGAGGACCTCCCCATCCCCATCCCCCCTTCTCCCTCGCCCTGCCCGTGGTAGTGGTTGTGGGAACTTGCCCCAGCATGCTCTGGAGAGGACCAGCCGGCCTACGTGACCCTCTGCGCGTCCTTCGGCGAGCGGCCCGGGCCGCCCTGCGGCGCCGAGGCGGCGCCGCTCGCCGAGCTGCACAGCGAGGGGCCGCCGGGCGCCGTCGGGGGCGGCGCCGCGGGGTACCCCTCGGTGGGATCGGTGGCAAGTCATGGGAGCCCTTTGTGTGTCTATACGACCACACTTCGGGTGATCGTACAGAGGTCCTCCTCCTCCTCCTCCTCCTCCTCCTACTCCTCCTCCTCCTCCTCCTCCTCCTCCTCCTCCTCCTCCTCCCCCTCCTCCTCCTGAGGACCACCTATTCCGAACCGAGGACTGTACGAACCTGTGGGAGGTTCGGCCTCGCCCGCCCACGCAGCTTCGCCTCGCCCGCACGCGCGGCACGAGCACGAAGCCTACACCGATTTCGTCCCGGCGGGGGGGCTTCCGTTCCGCTGTCGACTAGACGTAAGGGTGACCTTTCGCTGGAGTGACCTTTGGTGCGGGCACAGATTGGTCCCCAGATGGCGGAAAACGAAGGTGGAGCAATGGCTTGCGCGCCCAGGTTTGGTCCCATCGCGGCCCCCAAAAAGCCGCGCACCAAAGGTCACTCTTACCCAGGGTCACTCTTGCGTATAGCCGACGCTGCGATCTCACCCCGTCGCCTCCGATGCACTCTGTAGTGCTCCGTCTCCAGGGTGCGTTGGTGTCGGATGGCGTCGGTAATCGATGAGGGAGCGCCGATTCAGCGTCGATAAGGCGTCTACTGGCGTCGATGAGCGTCGATGTAGCGCCGATCAGTGTCGATTCGTTGTGGCAATCGAGATGGTGGTTACGGGAGACTCCCATGAGTTGCCGCCGAAGGTGGGGTCCGTGGGTCACCCAGTGGCGTGCCAGTGGCCGTGCAAGTACGCCAGCAAGTCGCGGGGGTGCAAGGCGGGGCCGACATCCCCTCGGGCCATGAGAAAGTCGCGTGTATTCATGGCGTCGGGCATGAACAAGTCATGGCGACGACGACCGCGAAGACGACGTCAGCGTCTCACGCACGTCGAAGGGTCGCCGAAGGGTGTGCCAGGCAACAGGGATCGACACACACCCTCGCGACCGGCCCTGTCAGTGCAGCACAGGGTAGGCTGGTGGGCCATGTCCCAAAGTGACGTGCCTAAGATGTTGCCGCCAACTCACACACCATAATCTTAAGACCCCCGAAGGGTACCTCAGCCACAGACACAACTCTGCGGCCCTCACGGGGCCTCAGGACCGTCAAACAACCTTTCGGGGTAAGAAGCCCGTCCCCAGGAGCATGTCGAGGCCTCTGGTTGGAGGACGCGTGATGGAGAGGGCGACCAATGATGGGGGGGGGAGCGAGGGCTGCAGGAAAGGGACTCTATAGGGCTCCGAAAAAGGGCCCTGGAGGGCCCCAAAGGGTGCACTTGGGGTACGAAGACAGCACCTTTCTTCTCCCCCGTTTGTCGCCCCCCCATTGAGCGACTCCCGAGATCGAAGGTCGAGGGTCGAGGGACCATTCAGGGCCCGAAAAGAGCACCTTCGTTCTCCCTCCATTTGTCGCCCCCCCCCCATGAAGCGACGCCCAAGATCGAGGGTCGAGGGTCGAGGGATCGAGGGATCGAGGGTGGAGGGTCGAGGTTCGAGGTTCGAGTGTCGAGGGGTCAAGGATAGAGGGTCGAGGGCGGAGGGTCGAGGGATCAAGGATCCAGGGTCGAGCAGTACACAGGATCGAGTTCGGGGGGGATCCAGGGTCGAGGCTCGAGGAGGAGGAGGAGGAGGAGGACGACGAGGAGGACGACGAGGAGGACAACGAGGAGGAGGAGGGAGGAGGAGGACGAGGAGGGGGAGGAGGAGGATGATGATGATGATGATGAGGAGGAGGAGGAGGAGGAGGAGGAGGAGGAGGAGGAGGAGGAGGAGGGAGGATGATATTCCTTTTTGATTTGCGTTCCATTTGGGGGTCGACCTTCTGAACAAATCATGGAATCGGGGCATCGGATGTCTGGGAAGGGGAACGCCCTCCTCGTTCCTTTCCTCCCTCCCTCTTCTCCTCCACCCCCTCCTCCCTCGTCTTCTCCTCCACGCTCTCCTCCCTCGTCTCCTCCTCCACCCTCTCCTTCTTCGTGTCCTCCTCCTCCTCCTCCTCCACAAGTGCACAATATGAATACTACTCTCCTCTCCCGTGGTGGCGTCCGGGGAATGTCGCCCCCCCTCCACGTACGGGTTTCTTACACAGGATTCCCGGGAGTTGGGTTTTCGCTTGGGTTTTGCTTTCAAGATGCTGCTCTCGCTGAAGCGCTGGCTTCATTATCGGGCTACCGCTCGTTCCGAATCGTGTTCCCGCTGCAGCGCTGGCCTCATTTCCGCGCTTCCGCTCGTTCCGAATCGTGCTCCCATTGCAGCGCTGGCGTCATTATTTCCAGCGCCATGCCACGGCATGATTTTCGGTCCTTCCAAATCGGCCCCCAAATCTAGAAAATGGCATTCCGAAGAAACCACTGGAAGTGATTACACATTCGGTGTCGATTCATTGATTTCTTAGGCCGCGGAAGACCGCCCACCCCCCACACCTTTGGGCGTCGCCACGCCATGCTATGTCATGCTACGCGTTGATCGTCGACGGCATGCTATGCCATGTAATGCAATGCCATGCTGCGACATCCGATTGTGCGTATAGAGAGGCGATCTCCGCCATGGTAAGGGGTGGGAGGGAGGGGTCGGACGTCAGATATGACGCGAGCGCACCCAGCTCGTCCTCCTCCCCCTCCTCCTTCTCCCCTTCCTTCCCCTCCTCGCTCCTCCTCCCTCCCCCCTCCCCCTTCCTCCCCCCATCCTCCTGCCTCGCCGAGCGTAGGATCTTGGCTCAGGCGCTGGAAGAGGATGGTCGGGCCCACGTGTGCGCTTCAGGTCCTTATGTTTTGGGGGGATCACGCGGGGTTCCCGCCTCGCGTGACCAGGTTTTGTCTTCGTTCGGCCTCGAAGAGGCCGACCTCCCCTGGGTGAAAGCTCGATGGGGTGGCCGCGATCCGAGCTTCGTCGGATAAGTTTGGCGAGTCAGACTCGGATGCCGACGGTTTCGGCAGACATCACGGGACTGCCAGACTTCAGGCCCATCCCCAACAACCCCCCCCCCTTCTCCTCCACCCCCTCCTTCCTCGTCTCCTCCTCCACCCCCTCCTCCCGCGTCTCTTCCTCCTCCTCCTCCTCCTCCTCCTCCTCCTCCTCCTCCCCCTCCTATACAAGTGCACATTCAGAATCCTGTTCTCCTCTCTTCCCCGACTCCGTCCGGAAAGTCGCCGGTATTATCCGCGCACTGCTTTTAACATATTGGGCTAAGGTGATGCGTCTTTGTTTTTCGCAACATTCCTGTGTTGAGTTCTCGTTTTGACTAGAGCACTGTGGTATGCACTCCTCCCGCCTCCCCCCTAGTTCCTGCCCCCTGCTTCCTACCGTCTTCCTCCTGTTTCCTCCCTCCCGCCTCCTACATGTTCCTCCCTCCTACTTCTTCGCGGGCTCCTGGGAGGCACGGCGGAGTAGCGAAGTACGCGCACCCAGACGGGAGCTCGCTCTTTCTTGGGTGGCTTCGACAGGTGCAACTGTCGCCACTTTCGTGGGCTCCTGGGAGGCACGGCGGAGTAGCGGCACCCAGCCGAGACCTCGCAGCTCTTTGGGTGGTTGCGAGCTGTGCAATTGGCGCCACTTCCGTGGGTTCCAGGGAGGCGCGGCGGAACAGGGGAGTACGCGCACCCATGCGGGACCTCGCAGCTCCGCGGGGGACTGCGAACTGCGCAACTGTCTTTACGTTCGTGGGTTCCCAGGAGGCTCGGCGGATCCGGGGTCCACGCGCACCCAGACGGGACCTCGCAGCTCCCTGGGCGGTTGCGAATTGCGCAACCTGTCGCCACTTTCGTCGGCTCCTGGGAGGTACGGCGGAGTAGCGGAGGTCGCGCACCCAGACGTGACTTCGTTCCTCCCTGCGAAACTGCAAACTGCGCAACTGGCGACTCTCTCGTGAGCTCCTGGGAGGCACGGCGGAGTAGCGGAGTACGCGGATCCAGAATGGATTTTGCATCTCTTTGGGTCACTGCGAACTGGGCAACTGTTGACACTTTCGTGGGCTCCTCGGATGCACGGCGGAGTCGGGGAGTACGCGCACCCCGGCGGGACCTCGCTGCTCCATGGGTGGCTCCGAATTGCGCGTGTGTCGCCGCTTTCGTGGGCTCCTGGGAGGCACGGCGGAGTAGCGGAGTACGCGCACCTAGACGGGACTTCGCAGCTCCTTGGATGGTTGCGAACTGCGCAACTGTCGCTACGTCCGTGGGATCCTGGGAGGCGCGGCGGAGTAGCGGAGCGCGCCCACCCAGACGGGACCTCGCAGTTCCCTGGGTGGCTGCGAACTGCGCATCTGGCGTCTTTTTTTTCGTGGGCTCCTGGGAGGCACGGCGAGTCGGGGAGTACGCAGATCCAGAGGAGACCTCGCAGCTCCCTGGGTGGCTGCGAACTGCGCAGTTG